TTCATCAACCTCCTCATCCTGATCTGGTGGTCTGTAATAGACACCAGTAACAGTACCACACATGCCAGATTGTCCTTTAATTTGTACCCACAAGCTCTCAGCTTGCTCCTGATCTGCCCCTGGACAGGACTCAATGCACCCTAGTTGCTCCCTCACGTAAAGAGCAACTCCACCACCTCACCTTGCTGGCCTGTCTTTCCTGAAGAAGACATAGCCATCCATGACCACATTCCAGTCATGCGACCTGTCCCACCAAGTCTCAGTAATTGCCACCAGATCATAACCCCCTGATCGAACACAGATTTCTAACTCCTCCTGTTTGTTCCCCATGCTGCGTGCATTGGTGTACAGGCATTTCAGAGAGCCAGCTGAGCACGCCGACTTCACCGTAGGGGGTTGGGAGGCCTTATTCCCTGGGCCTAGTTTACTGAGCCTAGTTATATCCCCCTCCCCCTTCAAAGCTAGTTTAAAGCCCTCTCAATAAGCCCTGCCAGCTCATGAGCAAGAATCCTTTTCCCCTTTTGAGACAGCTGAAATCCGTCATTTGCCATCAGACCCGGTTCTGTGAAAGCCTCCCCATGATCAAAGAAACCAAAATTATGTCAGTGGCACCAGCCTCTGAGCCATCTGTTAATCAAGTGCGTTTTCCTGTTCCTATCTGTATTCTTTCCTGCCACTAAAGGGATTGAGGAAAACACTACCTGCACTCCTGACCCTTCAACCAATCGCCCCACTGCCCTGAAGTCCCTTTTGATGGCTTTTGGACCTCTCTTTGTTACCTCATCGGTTCCGATCTGCATGATCAGTAATGGATAATAATCAGAGGGCTGTATCAGACCAGGGAGTTTTCTAGTGACATCCCTGACCTGGGCCCCAGGGTAGCAGCAGACTTCCCTGTGGGTTGGGTCCGGTCGACATATTGGCCCCTCTGTTCCCTTCAGAAGGGAATCACCTATGACAATTATCCTCCTTCTTTTTTTAATAGAGGCAGTCAGAATGCATGGGGCAGACTGTCTCACCTTAGGCAACCCCCTGGGGTGGGCCCTCATCTATATTTTCCTCTTCTGATGAGGTTTTAATGCCGACGGCAGACCGACTAGGCTTTGGTGACACCTCCAAGCAGAGACAACCATCATCCTCAGTGTTTTCCAGTTCCCCTTGCAGAGCACTGTACCTGTTATGCAAGGACACCTGAGGGGGCGGAGGAATTGCCAGGCAGTTGCGCTTGCCATGCTGAGCAGGGACCTTGTGCCATTGGCCCCTGTCCCTTAATTCCTTACATTCCCTGATCCCCTTTAACCTCTCTATTTTTTCTTTCATCTCTGCCACAACCAGATTATGGAAGTTGTCAATTTCCCTCTCGCTTTCCCTAATTATTCTTAACCTGCTCACCTCCTGCCTGAGCTCCAACACTTCACCCTGGAGCTGCGCCACCCGGCTTAGCAGGTCATCAACCTGCTCGCACCTCACGCAGCCATCCTCAGGATTGCTCCCAGATACCAGGGAAAAGCTATGACCTTCCTCAGAGCCTGTGACCTGAACACCGATATCCCTTCGAGTGAGTGCAGAAAGCACAATTCTCCTCCTCCGAGAAGCCACCACGACTCCTTGGTAAGGTGGAGGAGTTCAAATCCCCTCCAACGAGCTGTAAGCAGCAGCAGTTGCCCCCTCGTTAGGCAGGAACAATAGGCTTGCTTGCCTCGTACTCGTGGGCAACAACCATTCCTTGCCCTCCCTGAGGCTATTTTTTACCCAG